ACTCAAGCCTTTTATACGGCTAGCAAGCCAATCACTAGCCGCCACGTGTGAATAATTTAGAACTGGCCAATAATGGGGCTCGAATTAGCATACAAATGGCGGGAACTCTTTGCAACGAGCATCTCTGTGCTGCAACAAAGAAATGCACCCTGCAAAGAAAGCTACTGGTGGGGGGAATTCTTTTGCACCGGGGTTCTCTTTTGCAGCAGAAAACTCCACCGTGCAAAGAAGCTGCAATTTAGCGGGAACAATTTAGCAGTTCCGAAGCACACAAAACAAAAATCACACCCTTGGGTTGTGACACCTCCTGTCACTTTCATCATGTAACTCATGAAGCGCTGCTTTTTATAGAGCCAAAGCTTTATTTAGTAATCTGGGAACTCAGTACAAAGAGAGATTGTAAGGTTTGACTGGACAGGGGATATAAAGCTCCTCACTGATGGATAATATTAAGTAAGGTATTTTAAAAATAGATTTATCATTACTGAGTAAGAGATTTTACTTGGTAAATAGGAAGCCTAAACTGTCAGTCTCTGTTAGAAAAAGTTTCTAAAGTTTTTATTATTCTTGACTGAATACAGCCTCCCAAGTTTTCTACATCAGTAGTATAACTAGAGGTCAATATGTGGTGCACTAACCCCAGGCACTGGGGAGGGGAACTCAGCCCAGCTGGGTTGACTTCCTTTCCCTAGCCCAATCTTGTGCTGAGGAGCGGTACTGAGCAATTGGGCTCAGTTCCCTTCCCCTGTCCCAGGTGGCAGCACCGGCTTCCCTCCCTCATCTGGCAGGCGGATCAGGGGCCCTCAGCCCTGGGAGGACTGGCACAGCCCAGGCAGCCCTCCCGGGGTTGGGCCCTGATCTGCCTGCCAGATGAGAGAGGCTGTTTCGAGCTTCCCCATTATAACCAATGGCTGAAATGTTGAAACAGAGTTGAAACAGCCTCACTGTTTCGACGAAGCAAAATTTAACAGCTGTTTCTACTCAAAATGAAATTTGAAACAAAATGCCGTTCTGTCCAAACCTCGAAAATCAAGTCAAAACAAGTCCGTTTCGCACAGCCCTACTGGGCAGCAGCTCTGTAGAAAAGGACCTGGAGGTTACAGTGGACAATAAGCTGAATATGAGCCAGTAGTGTGCCCTTGTTGCCAAGAAGGCTAAGGGGAAGTGATTATTCCCCTCTATTCAGCACTCGTGAAACCAGATTTGAACTGAAACTGTGAAACTGTGTTCAGTTTTGGGCTCCCACTACAGAAAGGATGTAGACAAATTGGATAGAGTCCAGTGAAGGACAACATAAATGGTGGATGGGGCTGGGGCACATGAGTTGTGAGGAAAGGCTGATGGGAACTGGGCTTATTTGTCTAGAGGAGAGAAGAATGAGTGGGGATGTAATAGCAGCCTTCAATTACCTGTAGTGGGGTTTGAAAGAAGATGGAGCTAGACTTTTCAGTGGTGGCAGATGACAGAACAAGGAGCAACAGTCCCAAGTTGCAGCAAGGGAAGTTTAGGTTAGATATTAGGAAGAATTTTCTCACTAGGAGGGTAGTAAAACACTGGAACAGGTTACCCAGAGAGGTTGTAGAATCTCCATCCTTGGAGGTTTTCAAGACCTGGCTGGACAAAGCTTTGGCTGGGATGATCTAGTTAGGGATGGTCCTGCTTTGACTAGGGGGTTGGACTAGATGACCTCCTGAGGTCCCTTCCAACCCTAATTTTCTATGACTCTATAAATCCAATGTCTATATTTAGTCCAGGGTTTTTTGTATCCAGTAGATTTATGAAATAAAGTTTGTAGATTCGTCTGCAAAAGGTGTTTTGTAAATTCCCTTTCAGGATTAGAACTGAGAGATTGGAGAGAGAGTGGTTGTTTTATAAGAAGTGTGCACCTAGAGGTAATTGTGTGTTTTTGCCTTTGATAGATTTTTGTTGTGCATTCATTCTGGTATGCAGTTGTTGTTATACATATTTTCCATCAGGGCATTTAGTGCACTGGATGAGATGTGTTACATTTCTGGAGGTGCAGGTGTAAGATCCAGGAATGCTGATGGTTCTCGTGTAGGATGTAGTTATTGTGGGAGTGCTGGAGATGTGTTTTCAGGTTTTACATTTCTTGTCCTGGCATGGTCTGGATTCATTTGATGTGCTTTGGGCCCTAGGAAGTTTGTTTCTGGTGATGAGGTTGGCGGGATTTGGTGCTTGTTTAAAGGCTAGGATGGGTGGTTTTGGAAAGATCTTTTTAAGAATTGGGTCGTCTTTTAGTATGGGTTATAATTGTTTGAGGATTTTCTATATAAATTCCAGGGAGGGATGACATGTCATAACTAATGGCATGCGATTCCTGGGGACTTTCTTTTTGTATTGCAGTAATTCTTCACATGGTATCTGGGTGGCTCTTTCAAAAGTGTGATCTATCTCTCTGGAGGAGTGTCCTTCTTGAGTGAAAGCCATTTTGACAATTGCGTGTATCCTCCTCTGCACATTCAGTGGTAGTAGAGGGCTTAGCTGTATATTACAGCTTTCTTGGAGTGTTTAGGGTGATTGCTGGTTCTGTGTCGATATGTATGTTGGTCTGTGGATTTCTTGTACGTGGTGGTTTGCATTTTACCATTCGGGATATTGATCATAGTGTCCAAAGAAGAAATGTTGGTGCTGGCGTATTCAAGAGATAGTCTGATGGAGGAATGATGGTTATTGAATTTGTGATGAAAATCAATTGGAGACTCCAGATTTTCAGTCCAAATGATGAAGATGCCATCTATGTATCTTAGGTATAGCATGGATTTGATGGTGCAGTTCTTGAGGAATTCCTCCAGGTGGACGATAAAAAGGTTGGCATACTGTGGGGTCATTTTGGTGCCCATAGCTGTACCCATGGTCTGCAGGAAGTGTTGGTTATTGAAACTGAAGTTGTGGTGTGTGAGGATGAATTCAGTAAAATCTTTAGTTGTGGTGTGTGTATAAATTCAGTAATATCTTTAGGTCTGTATTCTGAGTTGTAATCTTGCTCTTGTAGATATATAAGGCAGGCTTGGATGCCATCCTGGTATGAGATGTGGTGGAGAAATGCTCTCCACCCACTTCTTTTGCAGCCAAAAGGATGTGGAAGGTCTACAATAAGAAGTTATTTTCAGCCCTACCATCATTGCATAGCGAAAGAAGATGAGAGAGAAAAGTTCTTTTTTCCAGCAGCCAGAAAGAGTTGTGGGGGGAGGGGGGGGCATCATATTTAACACTTACAAGGCAGAGTGTAATGGGGAAGATATTCCCCTTAAGTTAGGATCCAGGAACAGTGCTCTAGCAGGAATCCAAAATAATTCCTAGTTTGGATACCAAATCTGGTTCATAGTTGCTGGCTGTCTGCCACTGTGTGCTCCTTACCTAATCTTTTGTATCAGCCTCTCACTAGTCTGATAAATATTTTAAACCCTGTGTTTAACTCCGTTGGCTACTGTCCTCAAATGTAGCTCTGCAATGTTCCTCAGAGGTACTTTTATGCTTGTGTGCTATTCTATTGCATTTCTGTGAGCTTTTGCTGAGAAAAGTGAATGTTTCAGTGTACTTACTCTGTCCCAAATGGCTGGCAAGGAACTGTAAAATGTCAGGGAGTCAGGTTTTAATCCCAACATAGGGCAACTTTCAAAGACACTGAATTGTTAGTTGATTTATAATGTAATATGCCATAGCCTTTCAATGATGGACATCCTCCTAGAATGTGTTGCCATGATTTAGGAATAATTCACTTGCCTTGTAAGACATTAATAAAACAAGGTGCTATACTTACAGTGAATTGGTGTAAGAAGGAAAAAAAATTGGTAAATGTTTGTGATCCAAAGTAATATACCAGTATCACAATAATCAGTACAGTATGAACAATGTAACATTAAACTATTTCAAACACTTGAATTGGTCCCATGGCAGTGATCAGGGAACTGGCAGATTCACGGCATATTTTGTAATGGTTCAAAGTATTTGTGTGTGGCTAACATTTTTATAACCTTTTGGCTGAAAGCAAGTCTGGTAACAGCCTCATAAAGTATTGCCAGAATGAGCTGAAGAAAGGAAAAGCATATAAAGCAAGACACAAGACAAGTGGAAATGGCAAAAGGATCATAATATTTCTGGGAGGCCAAAAAACCAAACATAGTAGATTTATCTTTACTAGTAGGGGAAGGGTAGTCTGAAGAAAAAAAATCACAAAGCAGTATTTAGTGAATGTAATATTATGAGATGTAGTGATGAAGAAGCTGCAATGATTGTATAGCCAAAATACTGTTGAACAGCAATCTAAAATCAGTGAGCGAGCAAACCTCTTAGTATTCTTTCAGCAACACAGATTTTTGTCATCTTACATATAGTCTGAACTGTATGGGGGGGAAAAAAGTATTTAACTTCTATTGTTGCTATTTGGTTTTCCTTAGTTTGTGATGCAAACTGAGCTTTGTTTTATGATGTTCGGGGATTTTTTTCTAAAATGGTTTTCAACAAGTATTACTTTTATTTTGAATCATCTTAAAGATTACTAAATATCTAATTATAAAGTGAAAACCTTTTTATTAACCTATCTAAGCTGTTCCTTTTTCTTGTAGAGAACAGTCGCTGTTCTGAAAGTATAAAATATGAAAATAATACAAAAGGGATACAGCTATAATTTCACATAATTTTTAAACTTTATGGTGCTCAGCAATCAATACAGACTGATAGAGTCAATGTACTGTCATGATACCAAGCGCAGCGCTTTGAAAAGACTTCTGAAATATTGAACCAGTTAATCAGAACTTTTGAGAGATTTGTCATTGTCACCAGTAAAAATTAGATTGTAAGTTAATGGCCAGAAGCAAAGCAGTATTCATAATGACAAATTTTGAGGGGAAGTTTTCAGGAGTAAAATGAATATATACTGCTATGACAGATAGTGAGTCTATGAAATCATATTTCAGTCACTAATTGTATCAAACCCAGTTCATCAGTAACATGTTCTGTTTCCCTATTTTTTTTCCTAGCACCTGCCACCTCCATTGCCCAGCAAAACTCCACCACCTCCCCCTCCAAAGACTACTCGGAAGCAAACATCCATTGACTCTGGGATTGTCCAGTGAAGAAGAAAGCATTTCTCCAAAGATAAAAGCTGTAATATTTCATTTACCTAAATATTTTAAAGGTATATAATGTTTACCTCATTCAGGCCTGCAGTCTAATATTTAGTGCAATGATTCTAACTCTTAAAGGAACACAGTTCTAACAGTAAATCTGTCTTCTAAATAGAAAATGCCACTGGAATAAAGCTGTCACAGGATAATGGTCTCCCACTGCTTAGAAGGAACCTGGGACCTATTTTCAAAGCAGGGGGCATTTGTCAACTGCAAATATACTAGTCTCTATTCCAAAAAAAAAGTTTTGTATATCTTTGTTGTACTGAACAGTTTAATAAAAAGAGCAAGATCTTGGCACATACAGGTGAATATTAGTCATCTGGGGTATGGTCTCAGCTCCCACAGAAGTCGATGAGAACATTCACATTAATTTCAACGTGCGTTGGATTGGACCTCTCATTAATCTTGAGAAGTTGCTTTAAGATTGCTTCCAATAAAGGTTGTGTTCAGCCCTTAACAATCAAAAACCAGCAAGAAGCAGTTTTTTAAAAATCGTCCTGTGTTATGAATAAGCTGATCTCTGATGAGCTTTTCTTTTTTTTAAAAACTCCCACTAGTGGTTACATGTCAGTCAGTTATCTAACCGCACCATGTGGCTGCTTCTCTATTGTTTAATAACATTTTAAACTAAGATACCTTGTCTGCCACTGAACAGGCACTAATTTTATAGGAAAAGGAACCAAGTACACAGCTGTAGGGTCCCTGGTGATTCTGAAAATTAACGGTTGACTATAAAAATGGGAAGAGCTTTTTTAATATGTAATATTTTTATGTGGAGTAGAATAAACTGAATGGTATCTTTTTGTCTTTGTGCCATCATTCTGTACAGAAGTGTGTATATATGATGGTTCTTAGAATGTGTTGAATTTTATGGTTCCTGCTTTTCATGTAATAATGAAGTAATGTACCTGCAAATGATTCTTTACATGTTTTTAATGTTTTTAAACTGTTGAAAGTGTATAAATAGCTAACTTTTTTCCCAAAAAATTCAGCTCTGAAAATATTGGACAGTGATGGAGGAGGGAGAAAAAACTAACTTTTTATTCCATAGTGTTTTTTATTGTCATCGTTCTATATATATATATATATTTTTACTATTTACAATCTTTCATAATATTATAGTAGGTGGTTTCTAAGTACATCACTGATTCCAAAAATAAGAGGTCATTAAAAAAAAGCTTTGTCTAAGAAAATAAATACATTCCCATTATATTTTTACAGAAGTTTGATTAATTTCAGGAGCAGCTTAATTAACTATCTGTACTTTTGTTTTTTCCTTACAATACACATTTATGACAAGAATAGACTGAAACTGTTTATGATAAATTCTACATTCTTACCGTTTTATTATACTCATATAACTTGTTCATGATGCATATATGTAGCATTGAAATAAAATATGCATTTCAACACTACGTGTATGCATTTTGATATGCTATTTGCATTGCGATTGACAGCCAGTTTCACTTTTAATACATTTGTTATTTAAATAGCACATAAAATAGCTTAGTTTCAGATAAGGCCTTAGTGTTCACTTGGTGCCAACATGATGCAAATGAAAGGCAAAGGCATGACTTATAGAGGAGCAAGGAAATAACTTCATTAATATACAGAAAGATAGTCCTTGTCACTGGAACAGCTCAAGTGGTCAGATATATATGCTAATTATTTTGCCTTTAAGCATCTTGTAGCTTTGGATCACAACCAAGCACTTTCTGTCGCATCAGGAGATATGTTTTATATCATCCACTTCTACAGAATAGCTACTGAAAATTTTTATAGGCAAATTATAGGTTGTCTTCCAGCTTCAGTTCATGGTATATACCGGTTGTGACATGCCCTGACCCCAAATGCAGCCAGATGAACCTCTGAGAGACACTCCTGGGGTGCTTTCACACCTTCATGCCCCAAACTGCTCTCTGCCCTCTGCTGCCTGGTCATTGAAAAGTAGCTGAGATGTGCCAGGAACCAGATCCTTGGCCCGTGGCACCTCAGCCTTACCCATCCCTTGCCAGCTCTTAGCAGAGGAGACTTTGCCAGCTAGAAGAATCACAATCTGGTCATGTGTTCAAAAAAGATAGATCCCCTTTCCTTAGAAGAGGTTTGCCCATCTGATCAAGTGCTCTGGAAATCACACTTATCACTGACAGCAGTGATGGCAAAAAGATTTATTATAAAAACAAGGACAAGCATAAACAATCAGTAACCATATGTTGAGATACTGGCATTGATAAGAGAATAAACAGAAAAAACAGAATAAACAAAGAAAATATCAGAACATTAACCTGTTCTTACCCTGAAACTTAAATCCTAGACTACAGTTCCTGCCTACCTCCGCAGGTTAGAAAGCAGTTTTTGTCTCTGAACCTTCTGCCAGAGCCTCCTGCAATTTTCCCTGCCAGCCTGCTTTATTCAGCCTGCATTTCTTAGACTCCAGTGTTTCCCTATGCTCAGAAAAATTGAAGACCCCACTCTGCTCCAAGCCAGAGCTTAAGTACAATTTCTTATCTGGCCATTATCAGACCTCCCTCATTAGATTCTTGCAGGGGCATCCACTATGTATATAACTTCCTGCTCCTGCAAAAGTTGCATGTTTACCAGCCTAAAAGTATTTCCTACTCTAATTAAGACCAGGAGAGTATGCACATCCTTTCAGACACAGGGAGTACTACTCCAGTATTCCAAAGATGCCATCTCTCACTTAATTTCTTCCATAGTGAGAAGTGGAGACGTGTTCTTCCTGTTCCTAGGTGGTGTGCACGTTAGGGTTTCTCCTTTTAAAATGTAAATTTGCCATTGTCTAAGAGCCCCTATGTCTAGTCTGGAAACACCCTCCTATCAGACACTGATTCTAAGGAATTCCTGTGCTTCAGCCATTTAGGCTTTCAGCCTCTCCTAGGTGCTGAATAAACGCATTGTTCATCATATCATTATCATATTCTGCAATCCTAGCCCTATTATAACATATAAGAAATATGTGTTATATCAAATGCCACATAAGAACAATAAGGCTAAATATAGCTATCTGTAAAGACTACATATGCCACATCAGTAAAACAACCTCAAGAAACCATGCAAGACACCCCACAAACCCTTCAAGTTCATGACACTAGTATGTATAAAATATGAACTCTGATTCAACAGGTGAAGAAAGAAAGGGATTCCATATTACAGTCAACCAGGTAAGTGTCCTCCTATGTAATCAAGAATGAACTTCAATTTTAATGCTGTAGGAGGGGAATTTTGAATTTAATTTAGAATTTTATGTGCCCTGTTCTAAGCACATGTGTTGATGTTTCATTAAGAGTGGTAATTTTCTTGTCTTTCCAGTTCCACCTAATTGATATATAGAGCTTGCGAGTAAGAAGGTCAAATTTTCATTGAGACCTTCACTCGGTCTCTATTTATGCATTTGTGAAGTGTGGGCTATGCATACACTTGCTTTTTTCAGAAACACGCACACTCGCACACAAAAAAATTCTAGCATTTACAGAAAACTTTTTAGGCAGGTAGAATTTGTGTTAAAATGAGTCTTGAAGTGCAGATTCTAAGTTTTGCATGTTATATATATTTACTAATATTTTAACATATGTTTTACAGACTTTGGAATTACAGTATCTTCTAGGGATGTTAGCATCTTGCAAGCATACTTTGCAGCTTATAAGATCACCTGGTAAAACCTTGACCCTGGAGCTGTTGGAACAGGTGACTGACTAGTTGTAGCAGGGCAACAGCTAGGGCCCTTCAGTGGCAGAAGTATTGGCCAGTGGACCCATTCTCCATTCCCATCACTCTGGGTTAGTCTGCCATGCCTTGGTCTTGAGTGATAGAAAGGGGCAAATGGGAATGTACCTGGTCTTCAAGGTAGTCCATCACATGGGTTAAGGAGAGTCCCACTGGATGTCTTCATGGGGTTCCTCCTCCCCTATACCCTGACCACACCCCTCCTGAAGAGGGGTTCTGTAGCAGATGTTGACAGCTTTTCCTTCAAGATTAGTCTCTCTGGTTCCCCTTTTTTACTGGCATTGCCCCATTAAGGAATGTCAGACCCCATTCCCAAGCATTGGCCTTTTAACAGTCCAAATAAATAAACAAAACCTGGGCTTGCCTTGCCCATGCAGAGTGAGTCCAATCAGTGTACAGGTGCCCTTTGGAAGCCTGAGGGGTCCTGCTGCCATAGGCTGTCCCCTCCTCCTGCTTTTCCCTGAGCCTCACTCTGGCTTTAGCTACTTCCCTTTTGGTTCCCTGGATGCTGCCCAGCCATTTATGTCCCTCAGGCCAATCTGCTTGCTGCCCATTGTCCACCATGTCTCCTATATGATGAGGGAGGTGGTTTCCAGCATGGCTTCACCCTTCTGGAGCTTCTGTGCCCTACATCCAGCTTAGTGGTGGCCTGGGATCACATGACAGCCAGAATAAACACTGCAGGGACACATTGAAGACATACCAAAAAAACCCAACAATCTATGCCAATGAGCTCAGAGGAGCTGGCTGCTAACTGAACCCAGTTTTGAGGTAAAGCATCTTGCCCTTGAAGCAGAGAAGAGAGAGTGGAGGAAGGAAAAAGAGAGAAGTCCTAGCCTATGGCCTACTCTCCCCTGTGAAAAGACCGGCAACTTCTGTGGATGAATCTGTGGCTCAAGGATTGGACTTTTAAGTCGCATCAAGAACCATCAATGAGCCATGGTAGAGGTCATCCTTGAACTGAGGGATTGCCGCCTATCCAAGCCCTCCTATAAAAAGCCATTGTCTAACTTTGTAGCAAAACTATACAGTTAATCCTGACACAGGTATTAAAGCAGGGGGTCCATGGTGGCCAACATCCTGCTGCTGTAGTTTAATATATGTGCTCAAGAGATCCCAGGTAGAGGCTGTGCTACAAAGGAAGGCAAAAACCCCATAGTCCCCGCCAATCTGACCATGGGGTAAAATTACTTCCTTATATAAAGATTGGTCTAACCCTGAGTGGAGAGGCAAAACTTTCCACCCAAGAAACTCCAAGTTTAAGTGCCAGAAGGGACATTGGTGCACCCCAGTCAAAATTCCCAGCCTTGGCCATAGTCAACACTAATGCCTCTGAAGAAGGCTTAAAAAGCCCTGACACGTAGGAGCAAGGGGGAGAGTGAATTCCCTCCCAGCCCCACATAACAATAAAAAAAGCCCAAATGAATGGAAAATACCCACAGTAGAACGTAGGCATAAATACGCTTGGATCATTCCTGATCAGTGCTTATCCAGCATTTTCTTGAACACCTGTGATAGAGAGTCCACAACTTCCCTAGGAAGCCTGTTCCTCTCCCTCATTGTTCTAACAATGAGGTTTTTCTTGATATTTGATCTAAACCTACTTTGCTGTAACTCCAAGATATTGGTCTGCATCCTACTTTCTAAATCAAGAAAGGAAAAATGCCTTCCCTCTTCTTCATGGTAGCCTTTCAGATATTTGTAGATGGCTATCCTGTCCCCTCTAAAGTGCCTTTTCTGCAAGCTGAACATGCCTAATTTCTTCAACCTCTCCTCATATAACTTGTGTTCCAAGCTCTTGATCATTTTTATTGCCCACCTCTGGACCCTAACTTCTCCACGTCCTTTTTAAAATGTGGAACCCCAAAACTGAACGCAATAATGTAGATATAGTCTAACCAGTGCCAAATAGGAAGGCACTATCACCTCCTGTGTCTCTTGATGCATTCCAAGACTGCATTTCCCTTTTGTGCAGCTGCATCATACTTGTAAACTCATATTGAGTCCATAATCTACCAAGACTTTTGGATACTTTTCTGTAGTGCTGCCATCCAGCAATCGACCAGATGTCACATATTTTGTATTTGTACTTTTGATTATTCTTCCTGAGGTGTAGCACCTTGCATTTGTCAACATTGAACTTCATCCTATTAACGTCAGCCCAGCTTTCCAATCTGTTGAGATCCTTCTGAATTGCGTTCCCATCCTCCAGCATGTTCACAATCCTTTCTAGTTTTGTTATCTGGAACTTTGCTCAAGAACCTTTCTATGCCAGCATCCAAATCATTAATAACTACACTGAACAGCACTGACTCCACTCAAAACTTCCTGCCATTCTGACATGCATCCATTTATAATTACCCTTTACTTGTGTTTATTGAATTAGTTGTCTATCCACCTTATAGTAGTTTTGTCCAGCCCATATTTTTCCCATTTGTTTTTGAGAAGGTCATATGGGACCTTGTAAAAAGTCTTGCTGAAGTCCAGATAGATTATATGCACAGAATCCCCTTGCAAAATAGGCTAACAATGGCTAGAGAGGCCAATTTGCCACCATTTCTGGTTTTCAAAAGGGTATCTACCTCCAAACATAGTTTCTTATCCATGACCTGACTAGGCAGCATAGTTACTTGATGCATCATGTGGGCAATTTCATTGTTG